CCCCCCCCCCCCCCCCCTCGGTCTTGCATTTATGAATGTTACTCCATACATCCCACAGAATTAGTAAGTCTAAGTGGACAAGCTTACGTTAATTCTACTCGGCGCTGAATGAAATTCTTTTGTGACAAGACCATTGATTTTTAATTGCATATGATTGACAACTTCACTTTTAAGAAAATTAAGGGAACTCGGGAGAGTACCCTTCTTTGGAACATGTAAAAGAGGTAAATATGCTTTAACAATCAATGCAACTTCTATTTTACTCTTGTATTTTCTGGAAACACTATTCGTTGCCCACAGGACGACGGATCAGAGATGGTTGGATTAAGTTGTTACGCTCAAGTACTGATGAATCATGAGACTATATCTTTATCCACTCTGTGCATTAGTGACCGTGCAGCAGTAACCTGTTTACATGATGTAATCTTGTTGGTGAATTCAATGTCATAAACATTTCCTTTGTGGCTATGAATAACAGTACCCTCATTTTCAATATATGATTTTGAAGTGAACTATAACCAGCATCTGAAGTGTTGAATAATTATGACCATTATGTTTCAACTGAACTAGCTGCAAATATGGAGTATCCAGTATCCTGCATGCAGTTGATGAAGTAAACGAAGTTTGACCATAGCTGTTTTAGTACAAATACTTGTCTTTGCAGAAAGACGGTTAGCCCTCGTTTGAGCCACATTATTTTTATAAGAATGCATTTTTGAATAGTGTATTGATGGGAAATGTGTGGTTGAAAAATAAGGAAAAATTTTGAATTTGAGTGTAATATTATTTTATTGAAGAATGTGTGATTGAAATGATGTTAAATCACTGTTTAAGAATGTATTTTTTGAAAGAATGTGGATCAAATGGTCCTTAATGTTTTGATAGTACTTTTGTTTCCTCTCTTGTTCTTTTTTCCCTTGTTTCTTGCATCTTTTCATTGCCTGTAACATGTTTAATGGAGCTCAATTAGCATCTGCAAAATATAATTTATCCTGTATATAATAGTCTCGTTACGACTTTTTCTTACTCAAAAAGTATGAGGGAGTCTCAATCGATTACCCAAATACCAATTTAAAATACACCAATTTTGCAGATTCAACTGTTGAGGTAAAACAAAATTGTATTGAAGCCCTTTTACTTACTTTACCCGAGGGTGCAAGCATCCTGCCAAGAAAAGGTTCCCGAAAAGTAAAAGACCATGTTAAAAGTTGTGCATAAATGCACAGAATGAACTGTGCCGAGTGCCATGCTGGTGATTCTAAATAGTTAATGGTCCTATTATTTGCAATTTGTGTTGTACATGATCATTACTTATACTTCCTCAGGTGGAAAAGTTGATATTCATTCTTCTGATTTGGTTATCAGGTTGACGACATTCTTGATACCAAATTAGACAAGAAGTTTCAACTTGTCATGGATAAGGGGACTCTAGATGCTATTGGATTGCATCCTGATGGTCCTCTTAAAAGGTGGAATATCAACTTATATTACTTCGGTGTATTTTTTTTCACCACGTCTTGTATTTCCTGACACTATTGAGCAGGTTTCTCTGTATCTAGTATAGTCGTTCACTAGAAATAAAATGAAGTTCCCTAATGTCTCCAAACTAAATGTATTGACATTTAGATGATTTCTGGTTCAGGTCAATGTATTGGGACTCCATCTCCGGACTTGTAGCTTCTGGTGGGTTATTGGTGAGCATCCATACTGTATGATCCCCCATTTATTGCCATTATTTTGTCTGTCCTGCTACTGATACATGATGTCTCAGAATTTCTACCTGGTTTTAAATCTTCATTATGCGAGCTTGTTTTACTTTTTATCACATTACTGTGGAGGGGTTTGTATTTTGTCTTCTGGCATTGTATAACTTTGATGCTTCTCTACTCTTGAATAAAGGATCATATTTTCTTGTTTGTTGCAGGTTATTACGTCATGCAACAGTACAAAAGATGAGCTGATACAACAGGTGGAAGCTTTCAATCAAAGGAGTGGCGCCTCTCCAGAATCTGACACTGCTGTTGACATAGAGGCATCCAGGGATCCCCATCCATTCCAATACGTCGACCATGTTCGGTCATATCCTACATTTACGTTTGGAGGATCAGTTGGTTCACGTGTTGCAACTGTGGCATTTTTAAGAAACTAAAATCAGTGGAAGTCCCAACTGATTTTGGCGTGTCCTGGGTTGTTGCTTATTGTTTGGAGAAACAAGCGTACTCATTTTCTGAAATGATGACATTGTCTTGGGGTATTTACTCGTTTTGGGCTACAAATGTAGCAGTAGAAGGGAAAAGTGTTGGATTGTGGTATTTGCATGATCAGTGGCATGCTCGTTTCCTGATTTAAGAAAGCCTTTTGATTCCATACCCCTTTATTTTCATTTTGACTCTGTTTTAATCAAAATAATTTATTTTTCAGACTTATTTTTAATCATACACTCACACAATAAAATAATTTGTTCGTAAATTTAAAAATTTTCTCCACTTTTTAACCAAACTTATTTTCAAAAAAAATATTATTCAAAATATCATTTTTACACAATAGTGACCGGACTAGCACGGTTGTGGTACTTGTTCATTTCCGAGTTCTCATGGTTAATTTGCTGCGTCTTCATTTGTCACGTATACACAGATTTGCATTTTGGCATGCGATTTGATTATTAATTTGACACATAACCCAAGTGTCCGAGTATTTGATCTGTTTTATCTTTGCTAATTAGTAAAAATGTTATTTGGCCGCGTCATATCATACAAATTCTTCATATTTTCTTAAACATTTATTTTTAATTCTAGTCTTTTTCAACATTTATTTATTATTATTATTTTCTTATATATAGACTTGTTGGCGAGAACCTCTCCAGCAGGTCCATACTGAAGGACGGGTCTGCCCAAGGCACGACTCATAACAGTTGAAATTCTATCTAAAGCAGCAGAAGCATTTTGACACACTAATAATGAATAAAGGGTGGTGTTATTTATATCCACAAATTTTATATATGAATTTCACTCTCTGCATTTTTACTAAAATATTAAAATTTTAAAAATTTACTATTTTCATCCGTATCGAATTTCAATATTGTCCTTAATAAATTTATTCGTTTAATAAGTAAGCTGGTCCATAAGAATAATCGCTCTTCATAGGCCAGGAACGGCTGGACGGGGAATTACCTGCGATTGGCCATTACCAATCGTAAACTTGATTCACGAGCTATTCGGGGTCTTTTCTTGGCTATATAGAGGGTTTAGTTGCTTTGACCCCGTAATCGTTGAATGATGATTATCTAACGATTTTGGCATTTGCGTAGTCTTGTCTACCGTGCATGCATGCCAGC